TCAGGTGCCTTTAAATTCCTGTTTTGGAAATACATAGTTTTGGGCACGTTATTGATGAGTAGTGATGGGACTCGAGGACATGTCCAGTGTAGGAGACAGCAGCTTGAAGGATAGTGTTCTATTAAAGCAAGAAGAACTCAGAGAAAACCAAACAGAGATCCAGCAATCCACAGCAGAATCTTCTTCTCTTGGCTCATAGTCAATTAATTTGATTTCTATCAAGTGCAGTAAATTTGTTTTCCATCCTTTAAAGAAGCACTGGAACCAGATGTTTTCATTACAATCTGCTCTCAGCAAATCCATCTCTATTTTTTTCTTTTTTTCTCTGACATTTATACTTCTTTTTAAAAAAAAAAAAAAAGATCTTTGTTTCACTTGCAAGCTGATATTTTAACCTACCACAATATTTTTCTCTGATCAAACTCTAACTTCTCGTTAGTGTCACCAGGCTCTTCCAGTTTTGAGTAACACATCAGTTTTGACAGCTATTAAGTGTGCATTAATTTGCTGACAGTCATTTCTGTGTTTTCCCCCCTAGTCTCAGCGTAGGTTGATTGAGTGAGTGCATCTGAAAACATATTGAAAGTACAGATATATGGATTTGGAGAATTTATTTTGAAAGTACCACGTCACCAGTACATATGACTAATATTTTACAGCAGCTATGAGTGGAAACTCATTTCTGTAAATAATGCAGTAAACATCATCAGAAAATGTGTTATCTGTCATAGCTGGCAGGGTTGGGGGCTTTGAGGTTTTGTTGAGAAAATGAACAGGGTTAATTATCTGATGATTCCTAGTTTGACTCACTGCTATGTTATTGAATTATAGAAGAACCAGAGATGAAAACAAGCAAGTCTTCCTTGTTCTGCTCTCTGAGTCCTCCTGCTTAGCTGCACTATCTCAGAAAGTTATCTAGTGCACACTGTGGGATGAATTTTGTTGGGCATGTTTGAGTGAGATCTGAGTTAAAATCCAGAGGTTACGATTTCAAGTAAATGGTGAGACCAACAAAAGTTTCACCTCCCTCTATTTCTTTTTTTATTAGCTTCAAAAGCTCAGTCTATTACTCATTTATAGCTCTTTGATTCCAAAATGCTTGTGCTTTGCAGTGCTGCAGGCCTGCTTGCAACTGATCGCTGACAGCAAAAGTGATATCCAGCAGAAAGGTAAGAACACGTTCTGTGATTTTTAGCTAACTATTCCCTGTGTTAAGCCTTACATCCAATTTTATCCAACTTCAAAGAAGTAACTGATTGAAGTCACTGAATTAAAAAAAAACCAAAATGTCCCTGCATCTGGACAGCTCTTTCAAATATCCTCTTTTCAGTGGGGAAATCCAGCTAGTGGGACCAGAAGCCTTGACTAAAAGTCAGATTTGTTAATTTTTGACAGATAAAAATGAAGAAAGTAATTTTCCTTTCTGATTACCCAAAAAAAAAATCCTTTTTGTTTTTTTTTTTTAGATGATTCAAGCATTGTCCCTTGGCTCCTGAGCTTTAAACGTGGGACAGCTCTGGAAGAACAAGGAAACAAAATAGTCATCAAGGAAACAGGATATTTTTTCATCTATGGCCAGGTGAAAAAGCTCATTTTACTTCAGCATCTGACTTTTTAAAGGGTTTTTACTGTCTCCACACAAGACATGTGAAGTCTGCACCTCTTCATTCTGTAGGTTTTGTATACTGATACGACCTTTGCTATGGGACACCTGATTCAGAGGAAGAAGGCCCATGTGTTTGGGGATGATCTCAGCCTGGTGACGTTGTTCCGTTGCATCCAAAACATGCCCCAGTCTTATCCAAATAATTCTTGCTACACTGCTGGTAAACATCTAATTTTTCCTTGTCTTTATTTGCAAATAAACTGTATCAAATAGAATCTGTCCCCTGGACAATTCCCCTCTTCCCATTGACTGTGTAGTGTGGTTAGATCCTTTGGTGCTTTCAGTTGTGTGCCTGAAGTGGATAAAGGAGTAAATGCTGTCCTGATTGCAGAACTCCATTTCACTTAGGTGTTAAACCATCCTATATTCATTTTAGTCATGCAGATTTCTAAAGATATTTCTTCTCAGCTTAATTCTCTGCTCCTTATAGTGGCTACTGCAGTTTTTCTCTTCAGTTAGATGAAAAACTTAATTCCTAGAAGGGCCTCTTTCTGATTGCACAAATTAGAAATCCCAAAAGAAAGACCAATTAAAATGTTTCATGCAAGTCCAGCAAGCTCAATGCTCAGTATGTATTTACACATATATATTACTGCAGCAGCATTGAAGGAGCTACTGTCAAGGCCCCTTAAACCTTGTTTGATAGCTCTTACCTGTCTGTCTTTCCCCCTTCGTGGTGGATTTGAGGGCTTTCTCTTTTGTTATTTTCCAGTGAGGACTGGATAAATCTCTGGATATATCTATATATCTATGTGGATAAAAATGATCTTTTTTTTCAATGCCATATAAAAAAGTGAGTGGCATTGAGTGGCAGAGCTGACTGTTGGCAAGTAATGGCATTAAACAAACAGGATGGGGAAGGAAGCTAATTTCTTGTCCAAATCAAAACAAATTAGCTACTTCCTCCTGGCAACCGAGCCTGTCCAAACATTTGCTTTAACTTTCTGTCCCTCCACCCACAGATTCTGATATCATAACCACTTTCATCTTCATCCAGCCTCTTATTTCACCCATCTATTCCTTTCCCCCTTTCTTCACCCAGTTCTCTATTCCTTCCACTGTACTGCCCCTGCTTCCCAAATTCCAACCCTTCTGCTTCCACCTGCAAAACCCAATCTCATGGCAGTATCTTGAGCTGTTGAACGTGTGTGGTAGCAGATGTTAGATGGGCTCCCAGCTCAGAGGCTGAAACTTGAAGGCATCAGCTGATGGGTGGCTGGCAGGAAGCAGACTTCTGTGCTCTGCAGTTGCAGTGGATCAGCTGATGTCTGGTAGCTGGTCAGTAAAGCTCGTGAGGCCTCCAGAAGTGTGGGAACGGTGTGGTCTGGGACCAGCAGTACCCAGTGCTGACCCTGACTGCCAGATCACCATAACCTGAGGAATCTGGGTCCATCACTGAATTTTTGCTGCGTTGGCTTAAGTGGACTATGCTGAGTAGAGAGTGGAAAGTGGGTCCAGCTCCACAGAGGATGTTAAGCACCAGCTTTGGGTAGGCTGCAATTTGTGCCCAAAGATAAAATCCCCCCCCTCATCACAAGTAACAAGCCATGCTTATATTTGCAAGATGATGTGTAATGACTTTGCAAATACTATTTATGAAAATAACATCTTCGAAATATTAACTTTAAAATATTCCAAATCTTTTGTCAGGCATTGCAAAGTTAGAAGAAGGGGATGAACTTCAACTCACAATACCACGGAGAAGGGCCAAAATATCCTTGGATGGAGATGGTACTTTTTTTGGTGCAGTTAGACTCCTCTGAAGCCCTGCATTTGTTATTATCCTTACTGCAGTTTTCTTCTTCTCCTAATGCCTTTGTCAGAAAAAAAGATATTGAATTGTAATAAAGCTGCCAATTCAGTCTCTCCCCATCCACCACCAGCTTCTGAGAACTTTTCTTCGGTTTAATAGGCAAACCCCAAACAGGAAACACACCAGATATATCTGTGAGATACAGCTAGCATGTGATTACCAGAAAGCCAATTCATTTTAGATAATGGGAGAGCCTAAATAACAACTGTAAAACAATGGGGGGTGACTTTGAAAGAGTTTCTTGTCCATAAGGCAAATGAAAGAAGGAGTGGATCATAGAAGTACAGCAACAGGACCATTGATTATCAAATTATTACCCATCATTGCAAAGGAAAACAAAGACACATCTCATCTTAGATTTGCTTCATTTCACTGGTAAAATATTTGAATTATAAAGTGTGAGGAAGAAAAATCAAATAGTAGATTCCTCATCACAAAAATTGAGGTATCGGGTGTGTTCTAGTGAGATTAAAAATATTTTTTTCTTTAACACCAAGATTTTGGGGAAGGAAAAAGGTCTAAATGTATGGGGAAGTGAAAAATCTGAGTGTATGGGATAATCCAAGCAAACTCCTCTAGGAATATACAGAACAGCAGCCACTGGGCTGCTTCTTTCTTATGAACAAAAGGGGTATACATTACAAAATTTATAATATTTACCAATTGGAATTAATTTTATGGGGGAAAAGGGGATGAAAGATGCTTCAAGAGCTGAAGCTCCAAAGGTTTATTACTCATCAAGGTATATGCATGTACTTCTGTGTAAGGAAGGCAGGGCCAGGAAGAAACATGGTGAGTCTGGACACAGTACAGGGGGTGGAACTGGATTTCTGGCTTCACAAGTTCTGCATCATAAAGGTGGTGTGTGTATATATATATACAGTATATATATGTGTATATAAGAAAGTATGTACACACATGTATAAGTCTTTGATATCTAGGCACAGAATTTTATCTTCTTTTGAATAGTTTATCCAATGGAAATATTACTGCATCATTTTTATTATTTTTTTTAAAAATTTCTTGTGCTTTTTGCTATGATTCATTCTATGCAAGACAATAAAAAGAAGAAGCCAATAAATCTGAAGCCAACCAGAAACTAAGAAAATACATTTGTGTGCCAGGAATTGGGCTCAATCTTTAGATTAACTATAGGCTTTTTCTGCAGTTTTGAACATACTGCTCAACGTTGTCTTACCAAAAATAATCAGACCTGTAGAAAGACTAAACAAATGTCTTTTTTTTTTGGTTTTCATTTCTCTACTTGCTCTTAGTGTATAAGACTTATGTCTTTTTTAACCCCAAAAATCTGTCTGTGCTGCGTGGTCAAGGTAATAATGTGGTTTGAGTGTGGTCAAGACTCCTAGGAGCTATTGTAATGCAAACATTGGCTACCTACTCCACTGATCTTCAAAGAAGTATTGAAGTGCTACTGGAACAGACAAGAAAACCCACAGTACTGAACTGTTCTTTGTTTCCCAATATCTTTAGGGGTTGGTAATTGTGTCACATAAGCTCACTCAGTAAAGACCAGACACGTCGTATCCTGCAGTCTCCTCGTCTGTTTTTATAAGTCACAATGATTTGATTGAGTTCTCATGGTGATAAACAACAAATAAAAGATATTTGGAGCTGGGAGTTCTGGGCTAAACTGATGAAGCAATTTGACTTCTCTCAGCTTCAAGAAGAGCTTTCAGAAATGTGTATTGGATTACCACACTGGGATTTTTTATGAGGCTTCAGTATAGTTTCAAAATGTCTGGAAGCCCTCCTTATACAGATTGATTTATTTATCTGTCCTGGGGCCAAAGCTGCTCCTGATTAGAATTATTATTATTTAACTTTGAGGTGCTAAGTTTGCCAAAAAGGCTTTTTAAGTCCTCTGCAGGACTCTGTTTAGCCAAAGGTTGTATGAAGCTGTAGAGGAACCAAAGAGTGGCATGCAGTGAGGTGTCTGTTATTACTGCTGGCAATTATTGTTGTCATCAGGTTAATTTTCTGCTGCCTTCATGAGCAAACTTGTCTCCTCAAAATTAACCTGCTTTTGCACAAGGCTGATTTTTAACAGACCACCATTGGCTGACCAGAGCAGGAAGAAAAGGAGAATACCTCACTCCTGATGGTTCTGCTGGCAAACTGCTGATACATGAGGTAGAAAAGTGCTGCTGGACAAAAATCAGGCTTATGCTTCAGTGGGAGCTTCTGAGACTTTCTGCATTTGACAGGTGTCTCAATTTTATTTTAATTCTTTGGCTGCTCTTTCTTTAGAAAGTTCTAGAGACTTGGAAAGGAGGAATGTAAGTTTTGGGTTGTTCTAATCAGGGATTTCTTTCTTTCTTTCTTTCTTGTGCACTCGTTGATAAGGTGTATGCTTTTGAAGAGTAATTTATGTTTTCTCATATCAAGCATATTCTATCTCTACAGAGCTTTCAAAAGGGAAAGGAAAATACTCCCAGAAGTTTTGTCTTTTGGCTGAGTCCATGGATTGCCACCATCAGTAAGAGCTAAGGTTGGCCAGGGCTGAATCCACACCTGCTGAATACAACCACCCAAGCCTGTTGCCCAGAGAGGCTGTGAAAAAATCTGCTCTTGCAGATTTCCAACACCTTTATCCATAAAGCTCAGCTTTTGGTCTGATTTCACTGCTGATCCTGCTTCGAGCAGGCTGGAGTATGGACCTCCCAAAAAAACCCCTTCCCCAGGCTGATTCTATGGTAAGAAACCAGGAGAAGTGAGGGCAGAGAAAGACTGAGTTCCAGTTAAGCACAGCAAGCTGCTGGCAGTCCTTGAGTACTGCACGACCCAAAACTCAGTGTAAAATGGATCAAACCATGTGGCCAACCACTAATCTTCATCCATTCATTTGCAAGTTTCTTTTGGCTTTTTCTTCTGCCTCCCCCCAACTTCACTCCATGGGTTGAAGGCACTTATCCTGTGGAAAATGAGCTATGGATGGAAAGTGTTTTAAGCTAGGGCTCAGGTTATTTTTCAGGGATATTGGAAGTATTAATGAGGTTGAAAATGCAAAAGAAGAAATTAGGATGTGCTGTTTAAATCAGAATTGTATTCCCTTTCTGTCTTTGAGAGCTGGCTGAAAAGCCCTCTTTACTTTCTGCAGATTTTGACATCTTTTTCTGTCTTTAAATTTGAAGCTGTTTCAAGTTTGGCTGAAAAACTGGTTGTCCCCAAACCTTTTGGGTAAGCTTGAGTTGCTCGGATCCTGTTACTGATCCTGATGAATGTTAATTAGTCCAATGGCTGCAGGACAATCTGTATGTCAACACACAGGGGAGCTTCTCTTCCAGACTGAGCTCAGGTACCAGCCTTCCAGAGCTTCTTGGCCAAAGGAGGGGTCTTGACAAGCTCCTTTGAATCTGGAGACTGTCACTTTCAGTTTCCCTGGCTTAGTCTCCAAAAGCCTTTTCAGAAGTCTGAGTTCCCTCCAGACACCACTTTCAATTTGCTAACAGTTCTTTCTGCCTGAGACATTTGAAACAGAACATGCTGGACTCCACAAACTGGCATTTTTGGCAAAGCTCTGTTTTGTCTGAAAGTTTCCAAACTGCTGTAGCCTTCACTGCAGGGTTCCTTAAACCAGATTTTTTTCACAGGTGGTCACTGACTGAACGTTCCTCATTTTCTGGATGACTGACTGAAGTCCTTGCAGCCTTTTTTGCAGAAGTGTGGAAACTCACAGCTGAAACAGAAATTTGCAGGAGCTGTGCTTTGAATGGGCTGTGTCATTCTGCTTAGAAACACTATAGCAACAAATCTTGTGGAAAAAAACCCTGGGGGAAATAAATTCTGATCTGGAGGCAAACCTACTTTGGAGTGCACAGTCAGCCAAGAGCTATTCCTTGAAGAAAGCAGGAGGAAAAGGTTTTTTTAAGTGATTGATTGAATGTTGGGCATTGTGGGCATTCAGTGTGGTGGAGAATTTAATGGGAAGGGCAATGTGAGGTTATAGAAAATAAATTCTGTTACAGGTGCAAGGGAAGTAAAACTGAGATGGTCAAGACAATTTTGGCCCATCTTCACCTTGAGCTTTTAACTTTGCATTAGGTTTGGTGGGGATTGGAGACAGAAGAACCCCCCCCAAACCTCATAGCAACTACTACGTGTAGCTGTGGAAGGAGTGGTAGCAGTTCTACCTGGGCTTAGACAGTGTTTGCCTCCCCATTAAGGGAACTAGAGAGCAACCACTTCACAATCCCTGAGACCACTGGAAAGCAAACCTAGCACTTTTAAAGGAGGAAGAGTAGGGGGAAAGTTAGCTGAAGGACAGCAGACAAGCAGTGTCTGGTGACAAACTGCTGGCTCAGGGCTTCTTACCTACTTTATTTTGCCTTCTAAATGAGAAGGTCACAAGGTTGACAGATTTGAAAAGCTATGGAACTCTGTTTCACAATTGTCCTTTTATTGATTTCTTTCATAAAACAGATTCTTTTCAAATTTGATTTCTTTTCAAAGAAGAGAGGACCTAGAGGACTTAGAAGTGTTGGCTTGATGGTTGAACTTGATGATCTTGGAGTTCTCTTCCAACCTAAAGGATTCTCTGATTCTCAAAGAGGAGATTCACCACCTCTGCCCACCCCAAGAAGGTGACAGTAAGAGCAAAGTGAGTGGATGGGGTCGATGCTGTGGCAGGCAGGAGAGGAAGGTGAAAGGCAGCTCTGGGGAGGGGGCATAAAGCCAAGGCAGCAGCAAGAAGCCTCCTGTGCTGCTACTGCTGCTGTTGCCTGTCTTCCCCCACTTGCCTCAGGTGACCTTTCAGTCCTACGTGAATCTGACACCACAACTGGTCAGTTTTTTGAGAGCCAGTTCAGGATGGGTCACACTTATGTCTCTAGTCAATTATCAGTTGCAATTCCCAGCCCAAATGACTGGTTCTGGTGCTGCAGAAACAGCGGACACACTCTGTGGGGATGCTGCACTGAACGTGTGAGTCAGGGCTGATGCAAACAAGCTGAGCAGGCTGCTGAGAAATGAGGCTGAGTGTGTTCTTCAGCTGGGAAATGCTGGTGGTACACCTTCCTGCCTCTGGCTGCCACCATCATATCTTCCACCATCAGTGACAGATGCGAGCGGGGGCAACCGAAGCAGCACAGAGGCTACGACTTTTACCATCACTTATTTCCTTCCTTCCTTTCTTTGCTTGTTCTATCCAAAATCCCTTTTTCCAACTTTCTTTCCTCTTCTCCACTCCCATATTCATCATACTCAGCACATGCAACAAACCCAACCGAGCCAACAACCAAAAATCTGCAACAACCAAGAGTATTTAAAGCAGAAGAGCAGCTAAACTGCATTGGATAATTTTCAGTGGATGACTTCACACCATCATCATCATCATCATCAGGGATTTTTG